CGCGTTCACATCCGCTAGTCGAATGTGAACAGACCCGATTAGAGGCGCTTAGACACACACGATTATTATTAGAATTATTAAGGAATTATTAGAATTATTACGACGATTGATCAGACTACCGGTATCCACTGCGTTGTGTTACGTGGGAGGTAAAAGAGTGTCGTACGTGGTGTATGACCGGCGACAGTGTTCTGCGGATTGTAGATGCTCAACGACACCTGAAAGTAACGGGTTGAATTTCGTACATTCAATAGACCGTAGGGCGCTTGGTCGCCCTTTTGCTGTGCATTCATGCCTCATTTTGTGCGGCGGAAACGTCATTTATATAAAAACCTAAACGTTTATTGGCTGTTAGGACAGCTGAAGTGGAATTCGCCCCGACGATTAAACAAATGGCAATTGTCGGACTAAATGGATGACGAAGGAAATATGATTTGAAAAACAACTTTTATGGGCCTCACCTGAAACGCAAGTCGATCGATCATTACCAACGTCTGACGTCTTTCATGGCTCATCAAGCACACGGTGCTCTCGCTTACTACGCGATGCAGAAGCATCAGGAAGTCGTATTTAGCTTGACTTTGTGCCAGAATTGTCGAGGTGCTTGGCTCGTTGACGCCTCCGAATCGGTTTCATCACCCGAGCTCGACCACTGAAATGTAGTGAATGAAAAAGTCGAACTTCCTCTGCCCATCAGTTTCTCTTGGGTTACGCCACGCATTACAATCTCGTTCACAACCTTGGTGTCATTTCAAGTTCAACTTGCCCCCTACGCTGACATTGGCGGTCCCACAAATGAGGTTTTCATCCTCGCAGATATCAGTTAACCGACACTGGGAAGCACTGGCTGCGCGATAGCCGAGTCGTGAACTGACGTTTGGCGCAGTTCGGTGGTGGGGGAGGGGTGGGGGCATTATGCACTGTCGCTGCCTCACTTCTCTCGGTTTACAGGTCTCGCTCTAGTGTAACCTGTAAACCCATGTGAAGCTGGGGCAAGCTAGTGGAGTCACCATGGTTGAACCTGTCAACTCTTGTAAGCTCATGAAACAGCTCTCTAGATGGGTCGACACGTCTGTGGGAAATAGCAAATGTGCGAAATGCCCCCCCCCGTTGCCAAACTGCTCTTGTCTCCTGTGCTCATGGCCACACCACATCTGCCTACTTCACCCTGAAGCATCCAGTTCTTCTTTGCTGACATGTCAACTACTGCAGGTAAAAAAAGGTTTCCGCTACATAAGTCATGGACGTCATAACTCATCAACCGGCTATTTTCAGCTAGCGCTCGCAATTTCCTCTAATGAATAGAAGACAAATTATTGATGCAGTCGGGGTTTCGCTGAATCGCATACACACCCACACGCAAAGCTTTGCTCTGGCTTATACGGTGGTCTTTCTGGGAATAGCCCTGTCTATGTGTGCTTTCTGAGGAGCTTGGGAAGGCTGTAGACTGGCATTCGCCAATTAAGCTGACGTCATTGCAGTGGCGAAAAGGCAAGAGAGCTGGCGCTCGTGCTCGTTCGATGCGAGCTCGCTGCTAGCTTGCTAAGCGCTGTTGGATGGATGGACGGCCGGGTAATCACGCCCACACACACGTAATGCTGTCAGGAAAGGATTACGAGTTGCAGCTGATGATTCCCATTTGGGCACGTCCACATGCGTGCCCATTCCAGCAAAGTATGACGTGATTGATGATCGGAAAGTGTTGAAAACGCGATGCTGACTGCTGCTGTGAGCGTATTCGTTTCATTTCGAAGAGAAGAACGTCTGAAGTGACGTTATCTCGAGCATAATGAGATTCCAAAGCGCCGCAGGCGATCGCCGCACTGCACACGCTCTCCATTCACTAGTGGTCGCGTTGTGGCGGAAACTGCCGCGTCATGCGATGCACATGCACACATGTTCCGAATGTGAAAGAAGGCAAACACACAGAGACAGCGCCAAATTAGCCTCGTGACAGCACATGAATGCAGTGACACCCAGCGCAACGCTAAAACTTATGCGACCAAACAACTTCCAGAACCTTCCTACGGTACCCCCTAGCTATAACTCATCCTCAGACCGATGGCACCCAAGCCATAGCAGAATCAAAGGAACCTCATAAAATACAGGGCACCAGGGCATGGCTCTCGAACTGAGCATCAGGTCTGAGCCAAAATAGACCCCAGCGGACGAACGGCGTCTTGTAGGAACTACCGTATGCTCAGACATACCCCCTCCCGACCTTAAGGTACTGCATTCATTCGTATCAGTACACTTCCTTATTGGCTAAACCATTCAGTCATGTGCATTCAAGCCGGTGATTATGTGCAGTGATTTATCGCTCTTGGTCTGAGGTTATGGCTTCCCTCAGCGGCAAAAACATATCTCATGAGTTTCGCAAGACAACTCCTCATTAAAGGATGTTAGCCTCAGCAGAGGATAAGGCTGATCCGGTATTTCTCAGGGGGGAGATGGGTTGCACAGAAAGTTTTTGATCAGAGTTTTATTACCGGAATGTTAAGTTATTTCGATGAGGGGACGGTTCGGTGATGAGGAGGGGGAACCCTTTGCACCGGCTTACGGGTCTCATTGTGATGAAACCAGTGAACCTTCGGGAAGTAGGTGCAAGCTGGACCAGCTATCATGACAAGACCTGTCAACTCTTGTAAGCTCATGAAACAGCTCTCAAGATGGGTCGGCGCGTCGATGGGAAGTAGCAAAACTGCAAAATGCCCCCACTCCCTCCCCTACAGCCGCCGAACCACTTGGACGAGTTGTGGCTAAAGCGCTCGAAGGCCATTCAGTGGCTGATCGCAACGTTGGGGTCACTTGACCATCGTGCCCTTCTCACTAACCTGTCCTTCCTATTGAGATTGTAAGGGGGTTGAGCGCACCAATGAAGAAGTGATTCCACCCATCGTCAAGTGACTCCACCCGCACGACGAGAGCACAATGTCTCTTCAGACGCAGACCTGTTCCGAGCAGTTGCGGTAGCCACAGTGCTTAGTGGCCGACCCAGCAATCTCAAAGACAGAAGTGCTCAGGGGCACTGAAGAGCACCCCGTGCGGGCTTTTGACACTCGTTTTTTCCCTACGACCATACACAAAACAAAGGGACGCTATGTCATTTAGTTAGAGAGAAGATGGTGGAGCAGCGGTTTCGTCTCAGGACACTTGTCAACCGTGAATTTTCCCTCTTCCTGTCCTTATTCTTCCTCCTTCCTTCTTTTCCGTCCTCCCTTCTGTCTTCCCTCCTCCTTTGGCTTCTCCCAACTGCTGGGCCGACAGATACGGTGAGGGAACCCTACCTCTGAACTCTCGCAGCGGAAGCATGTCTAGTTGACAGAAGCCCTGTAACCCAGCGGTTCTCCTCCTTGCCCCCCCCCCTTGCCCAAGATAGGCTATTTATTCCCGTGGAGAACGTTGCGTGAGCTAACGTCATAACGTGTGCCTATTTAACATACGGCTACTGATTTTCACATGGCGTCATACAAATTGGATTTTCCGCGTGGATTCTATTAATACATACTCCACCTACTCGATGAACGGTAGCTATTTCCGGGTTAATTAACTCGAGTACGATGACGCAATTGGGTGTCCATAGTGAGAGTTGCCCTTTTAAGCTGGTATCCCAGCTCCGGGAACAGCCTGCGCTATTGTTCTGGGCGCCTAATGAAGTTGTAGACGATTAGATTTAGTGCAACTATATCCTTTCGTTAAGTACCCTCTGGGGAAAAACGCATGGCTATGTATATCCTACATACCCAGCACTTCCCTAGCGATCGTCCCTGGCTCTGCCAAGTACTGAATTGTCAATTGGTAATGGCTAAACAGTCATGCTATTTGAACAGCTTTCATGGTCAAAGACTGAACGTCAGCCAGCTGCCATTGCAAAACAGAGCGTAACCCCGTGATTTCGAGGGGGATTTCTGTACAAACGAACAAACCTGGTCGTTGTTCGAGCCGAAATGATTGTCCAGGTAGGTCCTTAGTTTTTGCTCTTGGCTCATTACATCAGGGAAGTCGATGAAGAAACGAGAGCACATGTACCTGAAATAGTCAGAGATAACAAGAATTTTATCCCATTTGGGGACAAGTGGGAAGGGAGTGGGGTAGTGACAAGTGATGGCAATTACCAAGCGTTCCGGCAAGGAATAAAAGGGCTCGCGCTGAGTTTAGCCCTGCTTCTGCCCTAACAGGTAGCAGACCCCTAGAGGGGCCAAAGTTGCAGGTCCTTAAAACGCTGATAATTAGGCAGCAGACCTGTTTGGGGGAGGGGGAGGGCAGGGTCATAAATAGGTACAGACCCCTACAGGGCCCTACAAGGTGCAGACTTGTGTTAGGGTGTGGGCGTTGAGGGATGTCAGGGCCGATATATTAAGGCGGCCAGCTCCTCCTCCCCAGGGCCGGCAATTAAGCATAGGTAGCAGACTTTTTTTGGGGGGGGGGGTGGAGGGTTTTAATTGTGCATCAACCGTACGCCCGAAAATCATTGCATAGGCCGAAGGGCACTCAAAAAGCTGGTACGATTTTGAATGGAAGTAGGGTTCATGGCATATTCCCGAGGGCTTTCACCAGCCCCAAAAGCTTTTTTGAGCGTTAAAGGGACAAGTTTCTAGAAAATTCCGAATAGAAGCTTCTGAAAAACATCCCGTGGGCGTATACGCGCCCTAATTAGAACCACGCGACGCTTAGAAGCATAGGGTATCATCTATCATGGCACGAATGATGCCAATTAATTTGCGATAGAAAAGCGACCCTCATGTGTCTCACTTGATATCCCATGTAGGAAGAAACCCACACGCAAAAACGACATCAATATCCCCCCTTTCTCGCCCCGTCCGATTCACTCACCTCTCTAGTTGCCGGCATTTTGATGGCCGAGCTGCTTTATAGCCTCTTGTAAGTAGATGGCAATATTTAAGTAGACCACCACCACGGATTTCCTCAGGACGGCGAGTATCGATGAGCCGTTCGTGCAGATGAGACATTGCCTGGAATTAGGTTCTTTTTTAGGGCAGTCCGTGGGTGACACGGAGGGACACCATGATGTCAGCACGGCCTACCTACCTGATGTACATCACCAAACATGCTTTCAATGTAGACTTTTGGTTCAGGAGCATCGAAATCATCCAACAGTGAATCGAGGGTGATTTGGAACGAATCGACTGAGAATTCGAATTGTCGACGCATTTTGTCGACGAATTTCAGCTCAATACACCGTCCAAAATCGTTGTGTAGCGAGAACAACGACCAACGATCGTCCTCACCGGACACCTGAATGGACGAGTTGAACACTTAGAAAGTACGAGTTGTCGTGACCTAGCTGGATTATAAAACATCTGGGCCAGCATCCCAATGGAAGAATTTCACTTACCTTGACCATTTTGCCAATGTAGACATCTTTCAAGGTGTCAGCGTTGATTTTCGTTTTATTTGCGGACGGCATCATATCCATGATGGTGTCAAACACTGCCTCACGAACCTAGAATCGATAGATTAAATCAATTCGCAGGGTCTTATTCATGGCTAGCCGTGGTTTAAGCTGCTATGGCAGCTTTCTCGGAAAATTTGGCAACACTGCAGCGCTCCATTCACAGTGGAACGACTCGGCCTAGAGGGGCGAAAGGGTTTATCCTCCTGGGCTGCAGTGGTACCACCACAAAATACTGGCTAGCCCGACAAGCCGCTGTAGAGCACAAACCGCCTTTCCAAGGCCATGTGATCCTGGATGGTAGAAAGATCCTAGGCGCATCCCAATGTGAGCATTTTGAAGGCATTTGGGCACGATCTGAAGGGCCACTGGAACCGATGATACCTTCTTTCAAGCAATCTGATCGCCTGCACTCTCTAAGGCTAAGCGCCGTTGTTTCGACATCATCTCTCCTAGGGCGACAGCGCGACGCGCCAGGAGCCACACCATACGTCCAGGGCACGTCCTGCCGTTGGGGAAACTCTTTACAAGAAACGACTTGAAATTTCCTCTTCAGCACGACCCCTCTTTCCATCCCAATTCTTTTTCTTCCTTTTTTCTTTCGGGAGGGGAAGGGAAAATGGGACGTTATTGGACGGTCTCCAGTTTGCCCCAAAAACTGCCATCGAACGAAATGTGGGAGGCGGGGGGGGGGAGGGCAGGGGGGCTTTTGATGCTAACTGCTTGAGATCTGGTAACGTACCTTATCAAAACTATCCGAATTCTCCACCTCCATTGGGAAAATGAGATCAAGATCAGCGTATGAGAAATCGTCAGCAGAAGCGACATGCGATGCTGCACCTCCGTTGAGTTTCACTGATTTTGGCGGCATGCCAGCTTCTCTGAAAACAATTACTAGTCAAACAAATTCGTTTTATCAACTCTTTTCAGCTAAGTTTTCGTAAAGATGCGTTATCCGCGCGGGACTACCAATCTAGTGGGCTACGGTAACAAAATCTTTCGACTTCTGACTCTATCCCCCTTGAAGGCGCTCACGGAAGAACAACTACATCGTGCTCATTTCCGAAACTCAATACTTCCCTGAAAGGGGATAGCCTCGTAGGGACCACCCATAGCGATGCTTCCTTTTGTTTCTGAAGGACGTACGAGTTGTACTTTGGGGGGGGGGGTGCTAGCTCAATAGCTTATCTATCAAGTTAATTAAACTTTTTTATAAGTGTAAAAAAAGACCAAGTCAGCTGAGCGTTCTCATTCTAATATGGGATGGGAGGCTCGCCGCTCGTGAAACTCATCATCCTAATGTACCGAACCTCAAAGGCTCATAGCTCTCGCGCCATCTATTCTCATGCCAGGTTTACCCACATGGGCTCATTTTTTCCAGGTCTTGGGTTGTTCGGCCCCAGTACCTTACGCTACGAAACAGCACCTATTGCACTCTCCTGAAGGCCATCAATTATTCCAGCAGAAGAATATGAAGGGTAAGGTGCATGTACTTGAGTTATTCACCCATACTTCACTACACTTCACTGGTAATACCTCATTCCACCCACTGGAAATGACATCACTTGCGTGAGGAATCGAGAAAAGATGATAAATAAGGCTATATAAATCACTGCTATGGCGACGAGATTAACGGCGGGAGTCATTCATGGACTGTTCTAGAAAGGATTAGATTTATTTCCATCCATTCCAATAGAATAACGCCCAAGAATCCTCGCCCCTCTGTGCATATGCATGTTTACCCCGATGACGTCAACGCGAGCCTAGGCGCTTCTAGAAACGTCTCGCGAGGAAATCCATTACTCATGGTAATTAAGCAAGCGCCAAAGCTGCAAAGAAACAAACCATCGCAGATATGACTCTAACTAACCTGAGCTTTTCCCTCACACATGAGATGATATCGATAAGCCGGGCTGAAATCGTCGGGAAATTCCCTTTCCCATGGATTTCCACCGTCTCGTTCAGGACGGTACGTAGACGATCAATCTGAAAAAGCATACTATAAGCAAAGTTCGGAAATTTTAACGCTGATTAGCTATTTTTGGTCTGCGCCGTGCATTCCACTTGCATCTAGGAGTGCAATAGTATTTGGAAGGTGATTTGGGCTCTACAATGGACTGAAAGGCGATTGAAACGCGAGCTAATGTTTTTGTGGTAGTAACATCTTTGCCTGGAAGGATACGTTTACTGTTCCTGGCCCTCCAGACAAAGCTGGGACAAGGAGTCGACCTGAGAGCGATGAGTTAACCTAGTGCGAGCCCGTCCGAGACTTGAGCCCAGACTTCCGACGTTGACTAGTTTTTTTGGTTGCGCCAGGCATTTTACCACTTTCCATGACCGGAAAGGTGATTGTAAGATGATTTGGGCTCTACAACGGATTGGAAGGCCGGGCAGTGTTCTCGTAGTGGTACCACCTCCCCAAGAGGAGAAAGCCTCTTTTTTTTTCTCGCCAGCCGCCGATAAAGAATCGGCATGAGAACGATGACAGGCTCGCTTGACCCGTAGTCCGACACTTCAACCCTGGACTCTTCGCCCAGTAAGTGGCGTCACTTGACTCGCCCCTACCATGAAAAGGCATAAAATAGTGAACGTTGACGTTTAGCCCATAGTGTGAGGCGCTAAATTGTATTCTGTCAGACTCCATTCATCAAACGCTTGCCATTTCCGAGAAATAAATCGCATTGGGGTAACTCGTGAGCGACTCGGATAGCCCTACGTGGACCACCCATAGAGATGCCACCTTTTGTTTTTGTCGCGCCGACCACCATCAGTCTCCTTTGAGACCGCCGACGACGACGACGACGTCAGCGCATTAGGTGCCCCTGTGGATGGCGTCATCACCACTGAAGGAGGCTTAACGCTAAGAGGTTTCCTAAATCCGTTGCCTTCTCCACCGTTTACCATGGCCAGCCCACAACAGCCAAAAAGGATTGGTCTCCCATTCATGCGCGCTATTGTTGACGTCAGAACACAATCATCAACAGAAGTTGCACTTTCATTGCATGGTAAAGTGCGGGGGTGTGAGGCCACCCTCCGTGCCAGTCTGTGGGGAGGACAAATTGCAGTTTTTTGAGGTAGAAATGACGTTGGTGACTCCAAAGTTACTCAGTTAGCAGCAGCCAACTAGAAACTCGGCTCTCCTTTTGTCTCGTCGTGTCTGAATAAGCAAGCAGAGCCGAAGCCCTATAGACGAGGGGTTTTTTCGCCATCAACTAACGTCATTCCCCTTGTGCGACGTGTTGCGTTCATTAGCCAGATTACGGTATCCCTTGAATAGATGATATACAGCTCTGCACCTTTATTGCATTATTACATCAACCAAGGCAGTATTGAGTGGCAGAGCTAAGGCTATTGGAGGGGTTCAGAAGGGGCTTTTGGATGACGCATGTTGAATTTGAAGAAAAAAAGAAATTATGGCCCTTCCGCTTGGCTCCCTCAGCCCATTCTCCTCAGGAAGAAGGAGGGAGGGAAGTGGAGAGTAGAGAGGAGACGTCATTGCGCGTCATTGCCACAGGCGGTAATAACGGAGCGTTGAGGGAGAAATAAAGTGTGAATTACGCTTCATTGCAGCTGTTAAGTTATTTATGGGGATTTAATGAAATAGCATATTGGATAAGGACAACTCATATGCAACGCGCTCGGAACAAGCTGGCACGGGAGGGGCATTTACAAGAATTCTCGGGAAAATTAAAAAGGATTACCGTGATGGGAATCTTTCTTTTTCTATAGAGAAATTGGTTCCGGGCGCGTCGTACGCTAGGAATCCCCAACGAGGGGGTCGCATTCGATCGCTAGGAGGGAGGAAGGTCGTATATGGGATTGGGAAGAGTTTTGCGGTGAAGTAACTCCCCCCACCGCCTAACGGCAGTTTCCTTGGGGAAAAACTTGAGACTTATTTGAAAAGAAAACCCGGAGTACTGCAAGGAAGTAGGGGAAACATAGGCAGAGTAGGGTAGTTGATGGGGATCGTACAGGGGAAATTTCGAGAAGGAAGGGCGTATTCACAAAAATTCAAAAATTCGGCAGGACGTGCTGAGTCATCCAGACCAGAGCTTCCTCTCTCCTAGGCATGGAAGGAAGTCCTTGGCAATTAAAGTTTTGCAGAAAGCTTCATTTGTGCCCGCTAGCTTTCTTGCAAAATCGCGGGCCACTTACTAGGGACCCCAGAACGGACTTCAACTATTGGAAAATGAAGAGGGGGGCATTAGGTAACGACAGAAACGTTTCTTATGAACTTATCCTGAATAATACAGTTGAAACAAACGCCTTCAAATAAACAAAAGCGTGGCAGGTGCATTTGAGTTAGTGGGGCCCAGGCGGATGTTGTTTTTCGGCTCCAAGTTCATGATAAACATCAAACAAAGTGGGCAGGAAAAACGATAGGTAAAAAAACAGGCATGTAAAGTAGGTTAATTTGATCTTGATAGGATAGAAAAAAACTTTGGGGCCAGGGGGATGGTTGAGAAAACTTTGGGGTGCCCAACCGGGATGGTTGACTTGTCGGCTTAGGGGGTGGAAGGGCACCAATGGAAATTCGCGCGAAACTTAGATAAGGCCATCTCGGCAGGAACCTCCTGTAAAAACCACCTCACGATTTTTCTTTCCGTTTAGCTGAATAATGAAAATTCCTTGCGCATTGGTGGTGTTGGAGCAGGAGGAACGTCCCCGCGATCTTACGAAAAATTTTTATTAAAAATTACACCCCCCCCCCTCAACGATCCCTCCATCTTTTTTGGTAAGGACTTGAAAAATTTTCTTATATGTGTCCGCTGTCCTAAGCTATCTCCTTCCGAAATTTTCCCTTCATTCGGGACTTGCTTTTACCAGGTTTCCCAAGAGCTTTTTCCCTCAGAAAGCCTCTTCAGTCTTGTTCCAAAGAAGAATGGCAGTCGAACGACTTTGAAAGAAGGGGGGTACGGCCGGGTGAAATTCAAAAACAAATAAGGATATTTGAAGAAGAAATAAAGCGGTAATGCTATCCCATATTAATTTTAGCCTTGGGAGAGGCCCTCTCAAACCCTTCCGAGAGTTGCACCGCGCTTTTTCGAATCCTTGAAGGTCGAAAAGCCTTCCACCGTCTTTGGAAGAATTGGGCAGGAAATTTGTTCGCGTTCTTGCTAGGGGAATTACCCAGAAAACCAATCTGGCGATCCAGAGAACGGCCATGTAGGAGTTGCTTTGGCCAAAAGATGGCAAGTGGACGGAGCGATGACTATGAAATAAACTCGCAGTGTGAGCTTTATAAGAGAGAAGCAAACTGTTTCAAACCCAAAGGGCTTACCAAGGAAAGGCGGGAATTCTAGGCCAGGGGGATCTTTGGTCTAGGATAAATGGGCGTTCGCTGAGGGAGGTTTTCGCCGAACGTTGCCAAAACGGATTGTGCCGGGAATTTTTCGAAAAAGAGAGGAGTGTGTGAGAGAAAATTTTTCCCGTTCCCAAAGAGAGGAACTGTAGGCCTCTCCGTGGGTGGCATTTCCCTCTGGAAAATTGAAGGTAGTGAGATGGTAAAGATGGACTTCGTGGTCGGAGGGGGTCGTATTAGAGGCAGCGCTGAACTCATAACCGTGACTGTGGCTATGAACTGCCCTTTCATATCAACAGCCCAGATAGTTCGACAAACAAGCGCCATAGAAAGCAGAGAGCCGGGAAGCGAAACGAAGAAGAGCTTTTGGCGCTGCGGCTTGGTGGGGGCACCGGATGGCCGTGGAGACCTGAGAATTCCTGTCCTTGAACTGGCTCACACGTGCCATTTCTCAGCTTTACAAGAGTTCACAAGTCTTACCAAAAAGAGACCTGTCATGATCTAGCAAAAGGAACTAACAAAGCTGCAATATGCCCCCTCTTAGTCATACAGCGCAGGAACCTATTTTAGTCTTGGTCTCTTCCCCTCCTCTACCAGCTCATACTCGTCATGTCGTGAAAGTGTGGCATATTTAAACGAGCACTGAGAAAGGAATGTCGATGTTCATTGAAAAAAGCCGACAACGTCACGAACGCAATCAATTTCAAAGGTGCAGTTATGTGAGTGGAAATGTAAGAATTTTAGAGTAAAAAGTAACAAGTACAGAATGAAGTCGGACTCGTTACCTGCTTTCGCGTGAGTTCTGTCATACTCGCGACATATGGTCCCTCGTTCTTCATACTTCTCGATGAACTGCTGTGCGAATGAGGGGCCGCGGTCAGCTGAAATAATCAGCTGATGAGCAACAAATCAACTGAAATGAATAAAATGGATGAACGGATGAACGGATGAACGAAAGACAAGAGAACAGGCATTCCGGGATGTTCTTTGCTCTTTTTAACCATTCCAACGAAACAGATTTTGGCCATCGGCGTGATCGGATTAAACACGGATTTTCCGGCACCCCCAATTACGGTAGTTAGGCTGAGAGACAATCGGCGGCCGGGCTGGGTCAGAAGCGTGGGCTAAATGAACATAAGGGTGCTTTTATGGAGACAATAGTAGTGTGTAGTCGATGACGGTGATAAAAACTATATGGAAAGAACAATATTGAAATATTTGAACATCGGTGGGAGGGGCGAATATCAACAACACCACCACCACCAACTAAGGCGAAATCAATTGGGATGGGAGGGACATGGTGTGGCTGGTAGAGCCACATCTGTGATGGCAGTGCTGAGCACAAAAGCGGAATAAGCCTGGAAAAACAACAGTAGACTAAATACTAGTATGGAATAGGAAATCCATTAGAAGAGATAGGCTCAGGGATCCAGAGCTTAGAGGTTTTCCACAGTTCTTTCGGGCTTTTACGTCGTTGTATTACGAAAACGGGCGCAGTCTGGCTTGGAGGGGGCATAGAGTTGCATTCAACTGAGCCTTTTCGGGTCACCCTTGTAAGGACCTGTGAACTCCCGTGAACAAAATGGCTCATTTACAGACAGAACTCTACAGGTCGAACCAAAGAGAAACTCGTTAGTCAACATGAATCAACAGCAAGAACTAGGGAAGGTGCAAAATGGCCCCTCCAAGCCGGAAA